ATGCTGGTGCGGTTGTCGAATGTCGGCTGGGTGGTCGTCGTTCCTGTGTCGACCATGAGGCGGCGGCCATCTTGGACCTACGAATGCCCAGTGGTGTTCGTCGATGATTTCATGGAACTAAAAATGGACACTATTTCTCACGAATACCGCTGAAGCCGCCGTCCACCCTTCCTCTGTTTATTGAGCATACAAACGCCGGCCCGTTCGGTACTTTTTCTGCACGAATGTACTTACCCCAGATAGCTATGCCATGGAGCCCATTAGTATAACAAAAGACTATGTGAAAGACTTTGGCACCATTGTGATTGAACTGTATGTATGTGATCTGAGCGCCATTCGGTAATAATGTGCGCTCAGAGCTAAGCTATCTGGGGATACGTTAATTGTACCTAGGGCATTTGGTAGTTTGTATGTTATATATTTTTATGTGTTTTCCCTGCCACATGTAAAATGGAGTTTTGCCTCTATCCTGGGAGATAATTGAATTACTTCCCAATTATCTCCTGGATAGAGAAGAGGGGTCTTCACAGCTAAAGGGGAGTGTTTATGCCTGCAATTCTGTGATTGGTTACTTTGTCATTTTTGTCACAGTTTTCCACCAGGTCCCCTAGGGGGGTGTCCACCTGGTGGAAGATCTGCATACATACTGGGCAGGTATCCCCATTAAAACCAGATCACTGCTTGAACCTCAATACAGAGCTTTGTCTCATCATTGGGGGGATTTATATTCATATGGTTTCCCGTTCGGCTGTTTGGATCATGAAGTATTTCATATGGTTCCTGTTCGTTAGCTGCTTCTCCCTTTGGAAGGGTGTACCGTAACATTTGTTATAACGGTGATTGTACCAGTTGTGACAGGACGGTGTCATTTAACACATTCAAAAACCTCTTTCCCCTTGCGGAATTACTAGTCACTCTATCCCAATTTCTGTCCGGGTAATTAAAATCTCCAATAATAACATATTACCTAGATTTGCAGCTTTCCCAATTTTAACTAGCAGCTGTTCTTCCTCATTAATATTTATATTAGGTGGTTTATAACATATCCCAATCAATAATTGATTTCCCTTTGTTTGCCCCACTATTCTTGATTTTCCTCTACTTCCTAAATAGTGTGCACCCATTTAAGTTAACTGTCCAGTCATGTGTCTCATCCCAACATGTTTCTGTTATGCCTTCAGTTATCATATTTTTTAGTGTATGCTATTGCCTCTAGTTCCCCCATTTTGTTATATAGGCTCCTTGCATTAATAAGCATGCATTTAATATTATCATGAGTCATTTGTACATTTTGTAATTTTTTATCAATATTGCATACCTCCTCTGTTCTGAGCTTGCCTTTCCCCCCATCTCCACCCCTCCACCCCCTTATACTTAGCTAAAGCCCACCTCCTTTTTATCCTATCTCCATTTTCTAGATTGCTTTGACCCTCCCCAGTACTACTAGTTAAAATCCTCCAACTTTCTAGACATCCTATCCCCCGTTTAGGTGCAATCCATCACTGCTATACAGGTTGTACCCAAGCGCAAAATCGTCCCAGTGCCCTAAAAAAAACAAAACCCTCTTTCCTGCACCAAGACTTCAGCCACACATTGACCTCTGTAATCTCCCGCTGCCTTTCTGCTGTGGCGCGCGGCACAGGTAATATTTCTGAAAATATTACGTTGGAGGTCCTTTTCTAAAGCTTACTTCCTAGTTCCCTGAACTCATTCTTTAGGACTTTCCATTTTCCTCTGTCATGGTTCCAACCTGGACCATGACAGCTGGGTCATCCCCAGCCCCTCCGAATAATCCCTCAACTCTGTCAGCAACATGTCAAACCCGAGCTCCCGGAAGACTGCAAACTGTCCCGTTGAGACGATCAGAGTGGCAGATTACCCTATCTACTTAATAATCTCCAACCTGTCTAGCCTTCCTTGCACTCTCATCGCCACCCATACTTGAGGGGCTGTTCACATGTACAGCTACTCCTGAGCTGATGCTCCCAACATCTTCACTCAAATGGGCAAATCTGTTAGACTGCACAAGATCAGGACTAGCTAAACCTTTCCTCTTCCCTCTACCCCTGCTTCCTTGCCCCACTGTTACCCAGCTATGTGTTCTCACCCTGCTGCTGCTCACCTGTCTGTACTGCAGCGTAACTTCGGCCTTCCCGCTCACCACCTCATATGCGATGTGCCCACAAGGTGGAACTCCACCTTGCACATGCTGGAGAGACTGTGCGAGCAGCAGCAGGCGATAGTGGAGTTTCAGCTTCAGCACGCACGGGTCAGTCGCTCTGCGGAACAGCACCACTTCACCACTAATGAGTGGGCCTCCATGCGAGACCTGTGTGCCATGTTGCGCTGTTTCGAGTACTCCACCAACATGGCCAGTGCCGATGACACTGTTCTCAGCCTTACTATGAGCTTCTGTCTCCTCGAAAAAACGCTTTGGGTGATGATGGAAGAGGAGGAGGAAGAGGAGTAATTTCCATGGTTATCAGGCCAGTCATTCACAAGTGACTCGGAGGGTGTGTTCTTGCCCCATCATAGGCCAGGTACACAATTATCCAGCATCTCCACACTATCCCATGGAAGCGTTCAGCTGTCCATCTCCCAAACACTGGAGAGAAAGGAAGTACCCCCCTACCCCTCCGCAATCCCTGGCCCTGAATGCCAGCATTTCAAAATTCCTGGCCTTTGAAATGCTGTCATTCTGTCTGGTGGAGACGGACAGTTTTAAAAACCTGAGGGCGTTATTGGACTACAAGAAATGCACCGCAGGCCGCAAATGTTTCTTTTTTTTTTTATATGTCCCAATATTTTGGGGGCTACCCCAACTAAAAAAATAAATAAAAAACAGTGTTGGCTACCTCCTCCTCCTCCACCGTGGCTTCCACCTACACCGCCACGCTCACTGCCTCCTCAACCTATGGGTCACTTAGTATAAACCATGTACACAATAGCAGAGGTTGTGTACACATGCATCAGGAGTTGAGCTCAGTTTGAACAATGAAAGAGTATACCCTGCACTCAGTTGTGTATCCTGGTTTTGTGCTGCCCAAGACACACACTAACACACACACACACACATTAACACACTTACTTTTTAAAAAAATTTAACCCCCCCAGCCTCCTTACCTTTGGGAATGCTGGAGCGGGGGTTCTCCCTTTACCTGGGGGTCCAGTGGCTGCTGGGTGGGCGGCGCTGGCGAGGGAGCACTTTCCCCTGAGCTCTCTGCTCAGCTCCCTCGCACGCCGCAGATTGATGCCGTGAGCCAGAATATGACGTCAGAGAGCTCAGTGGAAAGTGCTCCCTCACCAGCGCCACCCGCACAAATTTTTACTTAGCCGCCCGCCTCCTGGATTGTTAGCCGCAAGGCTAACAAGACATTTGCCCTTGGCATTTGGGGGCGGCTTTTCATGCCGGCCCCTGGAAAATGCCGCCCAAAGCAAATGCCTTGTTTGCCTCGCGGCTGATACCTGCACTCCAACCCTCTCTCAAATGGATAATTCTGGTGATCCTCCTGACAGCCATGCTTTAGATTTTGATTTATGTTCTTCCAAAGCTAAAATCAAAAATTCCATCTAGTGCTATTTTATGGCTGAGCTGTATTAGGTATTTTATGTTATTTTAATTGATTTCCCTATCCACATTTGTTTGCAGGGCACTTGTCATACTCTTACCCCCATTTTACTTCCTTTTGCAGCCCTCTCGCCCTTTCCAGGACTTTTTTAGAGGCATTTTAGTGCCCAAAAGTTCGGGTCCCCATTGACTTCAATGGGGTTCTGGTTCAGGGTCAAGTTCAGGTCAAGTTCGAGCCCGAACTCGAACTTTTAGACGAAGTTCAGCTGAACTCGGCGAAACCGAACATCCAGGTGTCCGCTCAAATCTAATATCACAGCTAGTGAGACGTGCTTGCAGAGAGCTCTGGCATAAATGCAGCATTATATTGGCAAATATATGCCACAATCTTGACAAAAGCAGCCCAGTTCAGGAGCACAGCAGTGCTGTGGAGACCCGTGGATACCCGCCTCGTGTAATTCTGGAGTGAAAGCTCCACACTCCACAAATGAGGCCTAACGTGGAAAGCAGCCGGGAGAGGCGGATGATCTCCTGCCATTGGGAAACGCAGAAAGCATCAGCTCTCCTGACGACCCACATCCCCCCCTTCTGGACTGGTGGGGGTTATCCCAGTCCCTGCTGGGGAAACCAACAGGATCACATCCTGAAAGGCCTCGGCCGGAATGCAGTCTGCATGTCGGGCCCATTGTGGCCACCGAGCACCAACCCCGACAATCACAAGAAAGCCCAGAGACATGGATGCGGAGAGAGCGATCAGTTTGACTGCATCTGTCAAGACCTTTAGAGGTGCATAGAGCATAATGCCACCCACCCTGTTATACCCACCACACAGAGAACTGGAGCTGAAGCAGCGGCTTATCAGCCCAGCGCCCACATGGAGAAGCAACCATATGTGCCGACTCTCCAAGTGCCGAATCGCACAGCAGCACAACGCCACCATACACGCACTTTACCACCTCGCAACTGCATCCCTGCACGGCACTCACAAGGGAGCCGACTCCAAGCTGGCATGCCGCTCAGTCGGAGAGCTCACATATGACACTACAACTCACGAATTCTGAGACGGCCTGGAGACCATGACCTTACTGGACTCTATGGAGGAGTGGTCAGTGAAGTACACGACCACACAGGCACTTGGGACCGGCGGTGCTCTCACCTACAGCAAGATGGACTCAGGTTTTCTGGGTTTAGCAGGCTGCCACTGCTGTTAGTTAAAAGTGTAAGTGATTTATTTTCTGAGAATGAAAATAAGGACACCCCTTGTTACTGTGCAGAAAAGCAGCACCATAAAGACCTCGCTCTGAACCTGGAGTCCCTAATGGTCTTTTTGCGGGACAACGAGGCTGATGATATTGAAGCTGAATATGCTTCATTAGACAAGTGAGAGACATATGATGGATTGCGTCCTCAGGATCGACGGCATCTGAAGAATATGTTGATTGTGGAAACGGCAGACATGCTCCAGGCCCCACTGTTTACTGCAGAAGCTTTGCTCAGAGAGCACGACTGGGGTAGGGAGAAATTACTTGAAGCGTGGATGTGCAGGCTTGAGAATTATTGCCAACGTTCTTGCGTCCAAATGCCAACACCTAATCCTAGTGGATTCAATGCCTGGGACACCTTACCTCCATCACGTACCCCTCGTACCACACGGTCATCTGTAACATCGCCTGATGAGATCAGCCTCTCTCCAAGTGACATAAACACACCTCTGTGTGGCATTTGCATGTGCAATATTTCAGTCTTCAAAGATCCAGTGGAGATACCTTGTGGACATGAGTTTTGTAGAGCATGCTGGGAATCGTTTTTAAACCTTAAAATCCAGGAAGGAGAAGCTCGCAATATTTTTTGCCCACCCTATGACTACTTTCAGCTTTTTCCCGTGGATGTGATCGAAAGTGTGGTTTCCAAGGAGAGGGACAAACGATATTTCCAGTTTGACATAAAGGTGTTTGTTGAAAAGAACACGGCTATTCGATGGTGCCAAACAGTATCCTGTGAAAGAGCGGTTTGACTGAAGAAACAAGGAACCAATAGTAATGGTTCAGATACTCTGAACTTCCCATTGTTACGAGCTCCTGCTATGGACTGTGGAAAGGGACATCTTTTCTGCTGGGAATGTTTGGGTGAGGCTCATGAACCTTGTGACTGTCAAATATGGAATAACTGGCTACATAAGGTGTCAGAAATGAAACCAGAGGAACTTGGGAGTCAGTGAAGGATTTGAAAATGCCGCCAACTGCCTGTGGTTGTTGACAAACTCCAAACCATGTGCCAACTGCAAGTCTCCAATACAAAAGAATGGTTGCAACCACATGCAATGTGCCAAGTGTAAATATGATTTCTGCTGAAGTTGCTTGAAGGAGTGGAAGAAACACAGCTCTTCCACTGGGGGCTACTATTGCTGCACGCACTATGAGGTTATTAATCAAGTGGAGGAAGTATCAAAAGAAATGATGGTGAAGGCAGAAAAAAATACACAAACAGTTTCAGGAGTTGGTCAGGTTTATGCACAAGATTTAAGAACCACAAACACATGTATCAGTTGGAGCAACGCCTCATCATAACAGCCAAAGATAAGATGAAACAGCTCAGCAGAGCTTTTAGTGAAGCCTAGGGCGGCAGCCGGGATACGACATTCGTTGAAATGCTGTTCAAGAGCTTCTTAAAATCAGATGCATTCTCAAGTGTTCTTACCCGTACGGATTCTATCTAGAAAAAAAAGCACAAAAAAAGAATTTTTTGGACATATGCAGACTGACCTGAGGATCTGGCACAGAAAGTAAACTGACCTTACCTGCGCACTTTGCGCCACAAAATCATTTGGGCAGCTTGCCTGGTGCAGCAGAAAAGACAGGAGTTCTTGGCATCTGTGGCTTGAGGACTGGCACCAGAGGCTCCCAGGCACAGTTTTGCTGGAGGAATGTGGGATTGGGAATACTTAGGATTTTCATCATGAGAGGATGTGTACCGAAGGACACACCTGCAGTTTTGCAGAGGTGTTATGCACAGTGGGAGAAGCAATACCCCATATCCACATGACCATACAGAAAGTTCATTAGATGCTCTAGAAGTTTGAAGACACAGTACCTCTATGGCACCGAGTTCTTTAGATGACCCAAACATACCTTTAGCTATTGAGCTATCTTTGCAGGAGTCTGGGCTTGCAGTAGATGAAGAAACCAAAGAGTTCCTAAATAATGAGGCATCTATAGGAGCTATAGGCTCATCACTACCAACTAGGCTTGACCCAGCCCCAGTGAACATAGATAACCCAAGTTCTGCGTTGAGTAGCTCAGAGCTGTTAGAACTTGGAGAAAGTCTAGCTAGGCTTGGTGCCAGCAACAATTCATATGGAACTTCTTGGATGTCCTTTCAATAATGTTCAAGGTGGATTGTGTTCGACATCCTGTGACCTTGACTCATCCAGTCAAGATCTAAATACAAATGAAAATCTTCTTGACAATATCATGGCTTGGTTCCATGACATGAATCCTAATAGCATTGCCCTTATTTCATCTGCCACTTCAGAAACTGATGTAGATTTACAGCCATGTAATGTCCACGAACAACAGCCGCATTCCACATTAAGGGAAACACTACATAGTCTACCAGAGGATCATGCATATTTTCAGGATGCTCTAATTAATGAAGACCAAGAAATTCGAACAGAAGAAAACAGTTATGTGGAGAACATACCTGAGTGAAGCAGTGTGACAGAGCGATGACCACACAAATAATATTATGAGCAGTATGAACAGTTCTGAAGATATCTTAAGTAGATCTCCAGAAGCTGCAATTGAATGGATTGAGCAAGTATATTTGGTATAAACATAACAAAACTAAACTACTAGATGTTGTCACACAGACATTCAGGCACTGTTTACTTTACAAACTTCAAGTTGCGGTTCTGTTTCAGACCATCCTGATGATGATAATTGGACCCTGAGCACTAAGGCATTTCTATGGGTCTTAGTCCATGCAACCAACCAGAACCAATCTCCTGTATCTGTAATTGAATTTTGATTGCCCTTTTTAATTTTTTTCAATGCAAGAAATAAGATAAAGTGAATTCTTCTTTCTAATAAAATGCAGTTATTATGTAACCTTAGTTTGACAATACTTATATTAAAGCATGAGTTCAGTATGTTTCGTATTGGACTTCATATTTTGCCCATCTCAAACACTGAACAAGTTAGCACTCCATTTATTACTAATGCTGTCTTTATTACGTTATTTACTCTTTATTAGGTTATATTTTTAATTAGAGATGCAAAATCAGTGTGAGGCAAGTCTGTTGTATACAAGTTGAATTGGATAATGCTTTAGAATCTGAACTCCTTTAGAGTTTTTCAATTAATACTCATCTGTAAAAAAATTTTGTTTTTGCAATGTATTGCTGAACACTGACCATTCATAAACGGTCTCAGCTGCACGCTCCTAGGTGGGCGATAAAACCGGTTTTGTTAATTTAAAAAAAGTTAAAATGTGATATTTGCACAATGCCCTTTGTGCTAGAGTATGAAAAAGATATCCAAAAGCAATTCACAGATGAACAGGGGTCATATATTTTTAAAGCAAACAAAAAACTCATTCTGTGTTTGTCACACACTGAATTGTCAATAAAAATCCTTTATCGCTGGTACCTAGTGCCTACTAAAACAAATAGATCCCCAAAAATCGGACACTGCTAGAGGTATAAACAAACCCCAGGAACCATGCTCCACATATGGTGGGCATGCTTCTCTCTACAATCATTTTGGACAAACATATACAATCTTATTTACCAACTCACTAAACTCAGACAACCACAGGCTCCAGAGACTTACTTACTGCACCTCATTCCAATTAACGTACCGAAATCGAAACAATATTTAATATATCAGATTCTTACTATACTGCTATAAGCAAATCTTGGCTGCAACCAACTGCACCCCATACTTAAAAACCTGTATTCAATTAATAAACACCACAAAAAAAAAAAAAACAATGGCCATATCCATGAATTCTAAACAGGAGTTCTGGAGAGAAGCTTGTAAAGAGTGGGATGAGAATTACAAAACGATCTCGATGAAAACTCCAGCTGAGACAACCGTGCGCATGGGAAAGAGGCCCACAGCCTAGAGGGGATGGGGCTACGTCTGGGACAGTGGCCAAGGTATAATATAAAGCTGTACTATATACTGTATGGTCTCGTTTATACTCCATAACTGTCACGGCCCCCGGCTTGCCACGAGGTGCGGTCACACCTGAGCCTACCTGCTCAGTGGTAAGTTGGGAGCCGCTCTGCCGGATTCTCCTGGCCGTCCCTCCTGAACAATATGGTGCCGACCATACAGTCCCGGCCATATATAGCCCCGTCCCCCAGGGTCGCACAAACGTGCGTGTGACATCAAAACGTCGATGCACATGCACGGTTTGGGGTCAGAGGTCACCCGCTGACCAATCACAACCAAAGGAGGGATATTTAAATCCGGAAGTTCCCTGGTTCATTGCTGAGCCATGGTTTCCATTCCTGAGAGTGCATTTTCTTGTTCTGTCTTTGATATTTCCGGTATTTTAACCATGGCTATTCCTGACTATTCTGATTTCTGGTTTCCCAGACTTGGCTTGTTTAACGATATTGTGCATTTCTGGCTTCCTTGACCTCGGCTATCCCTTGACTATTCTCTGTCTTTTAAGTATTAGTCGTCCATTCTAATGACCGGTTTACGTTCTATCCTTTTCTGCTCTGTCTATGTAGATGCTACATAGTTGTACGTGCTGGACTACACTAGCTGTCGTGACAGTTCACCAAATAATACATACCAGAACCATTGAACCTATCAAGTTGAATGAAAGGAGGGTGAAAAAGTCACAGAATAGCCCCAAACATTTTGTTGTGTACGTCTTTATCAAGGGAGCATATTGTGAAGAGGAGAATAACCCCTTTATATTTACATTCCAGTGTTTATTATCATGTTTGGACTGATTTGTTCTTTTTCATATATATTATATTTCTATGTGTTCATTTCCTGTTTATTGGTTTCCTTGTCAACCATAGTCATGTGATTATGGTTGGGGGGTCTCCAATTATTGTGGTTGGCTACCCCTTTCATTCAGGTGTTATTTATGTTGTAATTATGTGTTGGTATATAAAGGGGTTATTCTCTTCACAATATGCTCCGTTGATAAAGGCGTACACACCAAAATGTTGGGGGCTATTCTGTGACTTTTCCCCCTCCTCTCATTCACTTTCATAGGTTCAATTTGTTCTGGTATGTACTATTTGGTGAACATTTGTATACAGGTATCCATTCTCTTTTGTACCTGAATTGATACTATTTAGTCTGCATATCCAGGAGTGGTTAGTTCTATCTTCTGATTGGGTATAGTCTTCATATTGACTGTGTATGTATGATTATATTTATAAAAAAATGTTACCTGCGCTCTCTCTCCTTAATCCCTATGTATATTTAAACAAAAATATACATAGAGTGGGAAAAAGATATCCAAAAGCAATTGACAGACGAACAGTGGTCATATATATTTGAAGCAAACAAAAAACTAATTCTGTGTTCGTCACACACTGAATTGTCGATAAAAATCCTTTATCGCTGGTACCTACTAAAACAAATAGATCCTCAAAAATTGGACACTGCTAGAGGTATAAACAAACCCCAGGAACCATGCTCCACATATGGTGGGCATGCCCCTCTCTACAATCATTTTGGACATTGGAAGGAATGCCCCTCTCTACAATCCAATGGCCATTGGAAGGTGGCCATTGCCCACCTGCCAATGTCAATGCAGACCTCCCTAGGCGGGTCCTACACTGACCTTTCACCTTGCTTCCTTGAGCTTCTGGCAAAAATATCTCTAATGAGACAGAGAGAGGGGTATATTTTATATACACCCCTATATACTTATTAACCCTTAATAGGGAACACATGGGCAGCAGCATTGTAACAGCTTTGTTACAAAGCACGCCCCCCTCTTGGCTATGCATTAGGCCAAATACCTTCCTCGAGTTGT